CAGCAGTTGCCATAGCCAACAAGATGGCGTCAAGAAGCCACATCAACATAGTGTAGGGAATGTGAAAGACTAATACAACTAACTCTCTATGCCTTTTCATATCCTATGAGTAATATACTGGACAAATGAACATTATTGAAATACTTTTGTAGAATATTGGCCAAGTCATTTAAATATTAACGATTTAATTCAATCAAGAAGTAACTTGTAAGAGTACATACCAAGAAATGTTTAATTTCATGCAAAGAGCCAACATAAATTTCAGATGAATGTAAGTAATTATAAAGACTTACAGAAGACTCCGTGTTTCGTATTAACTCAGGGCGCTCCTTATTATAGTAAATCTTTTCATGATAAATATTATGAATTAAACTTCAAATCTCATTTCTTGTTTCTCATCCGTTTGAGCTATTTTAATTAATACGAAACATAGCATAAAATATCAAGTTTAATGAATCGGATTCATTTTAAATAAAGGAATTCACTTGAATTTTATAGTATGTTTCTTATTAACTTGTTCCACGGTAGATCAATGTTAAGTTTACAGACTTATAACGCTAAAATCTGGGGTTCGATTCCCCGCGGTGGACGAAGTGCAGATTTGCGCTATAAAACACAACAAAGACAACAGTTTATTCATTTAGGACATTCCACATTATTACGGTATAATTTTTTTGCATAATGACTATAATAAAAAGAGCTTGAAATCTCATAAGAATGTCTTATTAACTTAGGATTCCCTTAGTTAAGGAGTAAATAAAAACTCCAGTTTAATTTATCACATTCATTAAAGGTAGGTTGTAGGTTTGTGTTAGCGCAAAGCTACTCAATGGACAATCAATGCTCTGGCCACTGAGAGGAATCGAACCTCGGATTGTAGCGTTGTAAAATCCTAAACTTACCGCTAACCCACTGGGGAACCGCATTCATTATAAAAAGGAACCATACTTGAAATTTTATCCTAAATTATAGGAGTTTCCTTTTACGATAAAGTAATTCTCATAGTAAATGTAATAAACCGGATTATCTTACATTCCCTATTAATCCTTATTACGATATAGTTCTTCGTATGATGAGTGTCATATATTAAATTGGGATTTTAACTTATGTTTCTTATTAATCAGGACAGTTATTACGTTATAATTTTGTCTCGTATTGAATATCATAGAATAGCTAGTGTGCAGAGCTTGTATTGGAAGCTAGCCTTTCTTTACATTTTCAATATTTATTCGCAAAACGCCATAGAGAAATAAACAGGCGGAAGAAAAACACAAGTGAGGGATTTGAAATAGCCAAAGGGTTTAATGCACTTGCAAGCAAGAGGGTTCATCCACAAGGGGGGAGGAGAGAGAGAGAGAGACAAACTAGGAACTTGTGTCATAGAATTCTAGCCCCTCTGTTTGTTCTTGGGTGATAAGAAACACGGCGCACTTTGCACAACTTTTCCGCCAGGCTACGGTAACATTGCTTTTACAACAGAGTTAGTTTTGTTAATAATGTCTTCCCGAAACTAAGCTGTTGACCATATGTGTAGTCGAGGTGTTATGAGGTAAACTATATTCATCATTAACAGAATCTGAGGGTTCAATGTGTTTCACATCTGCTGCACGTTGGTACGTATAACACACTCGCACCATAATATAATACAATGTATTCTACGATAAATTCTGGGCATTTTTAACTACAAATACGCAGAAATCTGGTATTTTTCTATTTATAAAACTATATATATATATATATATATAAAGTCAAAACATCAATAAGATTCAACTGTAGATACGAATAATAATACACCGGAATATCGGACTATTTTATTTCTTCAACCGGTTTCGTCATTTTAAAGGTCACTCTTCAAGGTCCCCCGCTGGGATAGCGGTAAGTCTACGTATTTATAACGCTAAAATAAGGGGTTCGGTTCCCCTCGGTGTACACAGCAGATAGCCCGATGTGGCTTTGCTATAAGAAAAACACACACACACACACTCTTCAGGAAACGATTTTACTGAGAAAAGAAAAATAAGTTCTCAGTAAAATTATATCCTGAAGAGTGACCTTTGAAGAAATTAATAAAGGCGAGGAAAAACAGAATAGTCTGATATTCCAGTGTTTTGTAAAATATATACACAAACACACATGTATATACGTATATTCAGGGAGAGTCTGGACTTACCAAAACAGAAAGGTTGTAAGAGTAAAACCATATAAAACTCTTTTGAAAGACTTATACCAATATTTATGTTAAAATGCTCAAGAAAAGAACATGCAATTACAGTACAGTTATGAAAGAGTACTTACCAAAAAGATGTTTCGAAATCAGGAAAAAAAGGCAGGAATAATATTTGGTAAATTTAATTTACATATATAAAGAAAGCTGATAAAATCCTATAGCGCTTTCGACAGATGGGTCCTCTGAAAGCACTAAAGATTATCAGGTTTTTTTTTAAATGTGATTTTTAACATCTTTGATTCTATCACTCACATATTTCATGTTAACTATAAATATTAAACAGGGGTCTTTTCTTGGCTTACGTTGTGATAAATCATTGCTCATTTCTATGGCATAACTCATTCCATAGCTTTCCAAATCGAACTTTTACTTTACCCTGGAATTGTGAGAGTAAACCAAAATGTGGACACGCGCGAAATATTTCGAAATGTTCAATCTATTTCGAGCCTCTTTCGTTAAGGTTACTTGTTGCCAAGCTGGAGTTATCAGTCAAAATATGCCACTCAACACAGGCATTGAGCAGGCACGCATTGAATTAATGTTTTTGTTTTTTATGCACGTGTGATGTGTTAAGAATTTATCTGCTATAGCTAAACGTATAATTAGGCTTATGATTTGACTTTTTTTGTTAGTCATTACGGGGCTACGAGGAGTTAAAAGATAAACAAATACGGGTCTGTAGATTGTCATTAGTCATTTAGAAATAGCTCCAACTGTTAGGTACATGTGCGGAGGCAATAAACCACATGAGATAAGAAAACATTCTAAAATTAGCATGAAACATTTAGTCATCGATTTTTTTAAAAACTAAGTTAACACTTCTTAAATGCATTTATGATTTACTCGTAGAAAGACCGACCGCCCTGTGATTTTGGCATTGATTATATTGTCAAATACTTATTAAGGGCGGTAAAAGTAAAAGAAAAAAAGTACCACTCATTTAATACTTTATAATATTTTCTGTTTTCCACATGGTAGTATATTCTATAATATTGTGTAAAATTATCGTAAGTATATTTTCGGATACTGTATTACAGACACCAGTCGTTGATTTAAGTCCTAAGCTACGAGAGCTCGTTCTGAACAGATGTGCTAAAACGGTCGCAGAATCCCAGGGGAAGGAAGCTGCCACGGGTTTTCTGAAAAAAAAACAACAACTGGCATTTGTTATTTGTCCAATAATAATTAAGGGCGGCAAAAGTAAAAGGTTTGTTTGTTTTGAATTTTCGCGCAAAGCTACACGGGGACTATCTGCGCTAGCCGTCCCTAATTTAGCAGCGAAAAACTAGAGGGAAGGCAGCTAGTAATCACCACCCATCGCCAACTCTTGGGCTACTCTTTTACCAACGAATAGTGGGATTGCCCGTCACATTATAGCGCCCCCACGGCTGAAAGGGCGAACATGTTTGGTGTGACGGGAATTCTAAATCCGCGACTCTCAGATTGCGAGTCGAGCGCTCTAACCACCTGGCCATGCTAGGCCTAAAGTAAAAGGAAAAGAGTACCATTCCTTCAATACTCTATCGGAGGAAGGCGTCCCTCAGTGAGGGGTAGTTAGCCCTATCCTCTTCATCATGTATGTAACTAACATGCCTCTAAAAGATCCAAATCACGGACACTCCTCACAGTTCGCTGATGACGTAGCAGTCTGGAAAAGTGTTCCTACCCCATCTATAGCAGCTAGAACTTTACAGCCACAACTAAACAGAATAGTTGAATATTGCCAAAAAACCGACTTGTGGTCTCTGCCAAATTAACTAAGTATAAGAAAGACCCACCAAAACTATATATGAACGGAACACTTCTCCATACTGCTACATACACCAAATTTTTAGGTCTTGCTTATTATTCGAAACTAACTTGGATAAATTACTCAAACAATATCAGAACCAAAGTCTGGCAACGAACAAACTATGCTAGGAGCCTAACGGGTAAAAAACAATAAAGCTACAGCTGACAACATGCTAAAAATATACAAAACATGTAAACGACCCATATTAGATTATGCAGCTCCAGCATGGATAAATGTCGCGCCAAAACTAAGACAAAGAAAACTACAAACAATACAAAACCCATTACCTACGACAGTATTCAAAGTTCCTAGATCAACATCCTCTAAGTTCGTGCATAAATACGCAAATATAGAAACAGTAATCGATAGATTCCTACATAGTACGCTAAATTATTTCGCGCCAAAATGGAGAGAAAATGACTTATTATGTGAACTTGATAGATACTACATACCTGATGATGATGATGATGATGGTCCTAACCATTCGTCCCAGGTGAATATATATATATATATAATAAAATAAATACAGGCTACCTGATTACTAGATTAAAGTTTAACATTGTTTTAAGTTACCATGAAAACATAGTAAGGATATTTAAGTAAATGGTCTCATCCTAACTTAAAATATATGTGAAATACACCTTGAACTGTTTGCAACGTATAGAACTTTACACAACAAAGCGATGGTGTATTTTTACATCAAATGTTACCATAATTACATACATGGACATGACCTTGAAAGGGGTCAGAGTAAGTGCGCGAAATCAGCTCTGATCCTCTTATAGTAATTATAATAACACTGCTAAGGAACAATATGAGCAGGAGGAAGGAAGATGTTAAATGAACCTGACCCACCAGGTCTTCAACGACTAAACCCCCCGACTCTGAGACTGCGGTTGAATCTATAACATTTTCTGTTTTCCATACTCTATAATATGGTGTAAAATCATTATAAGTAAATTTTCGGATACTCTATTACAGACACTGGTCGTTGATTTAAGCCCTAAGCTACGAGAGCTCGTTCTGAACACTTGTGCTGAAACGGTCACAGAATCCCAGGCGGAAGGAAGCTGCCACGGGTTTTCGGAAAAACCGACGGATGAACTTATGATGCAGGTCAAGGTACGATTTTTGTTCCTCGATGTTTGGAATCTCTTATATATATCAGTTGTAGCAGAGGGTTTAAGGGGAACTTGTGTTTCTGTATGTAAGTTAATGTTTAAGCTGTAAGATTTTAGTTTTTAAGTATATTCTCACTTCTAACTGTTGTCATTTCGAACAGAGCAACGTAATATTTACAGGATTAAGAGCACGGAAGCGCCCCTTGTGGCTGACTAAGAATAAATGTGTACAAAATACTTCAGGAGAAACAGACTTCAGAAATGGGAGTCGTCTGTGTAGAGGCGTGTTCTAAGACTTTTTATAGCACGTTCAATGGATTTACAGCATTGAAGAGCCCATATGGTAGTGAAGTAATTACCGACTTGTTTTTTATATACCGTCCAAATATGTGTATCAAATTGAATGATCTTATGTTTTTGCTTATTGTTACAATAGCGAGCATAGAGATCTGACCAAAACATTTGGTGAAATCAGTCATTTTCTATGTAAAATACGTAGGGGATCTTAGAAGTACTTACCCGGATGAAATGCAATATTGATGGTACTTTGCATTTTTCTGTGTGGCTCACATGTTAGACAAAAAAAAAACTCACAAGCAATTTCGTGCGTAAATAATTAAGAAAAATGTATTTAAAAAAACCTTGTAAAATTAAAGAAAGCTTTAGCAATTAGCAACCTCTGTGGATTAGATACATGCTTGTAGTTAAGTGCTGCTTATAAAAATATAGAGTAGTTCATATAGAGCCGGATTCAAACCTACAGATCGTATCAATGGTTTCAAGTTATATACAGATACCTCAAGTTTCGTCTAGATAAACCTGAGAAAATCCAGGGTGTATCAGGGCTACGTTTTTTAGTGTATTTTGTCATGATTCGTTTAACAAAGTTAATGTGTTTTAGTGTTGTATAATACCTTGGGTTAGAAGTAAATTTCTCTCTTAATGACATATTTCAAAAGGCGTTTATGGGAAAGTCTACTGCACAGGTTCAAATTTTGATTCCCTATGTAATTTAATGTTATCAACGCTATTTTCAAGTTTTGAACAACTCGACTTTCAAGATCTACATATCTACACGTGCCGATGTTTCCGTGTATCAACGTTATATTTTAAGATCTGTGCAAGAACTCAGCTAACAGATGTTTCCGCATATTAAAGCTATCTTCGAGTTTTGTTCACCAAAAAAAAAACTTTTCAAGTAATTCATATAGGAAAAATCTGCTTTTTTTATAATAAGGAGCAAAATTTCAACCGTTGTATATGCGAAATATTATATTCAATGACCAATAGTAAAATTCATTATACAGGATAGGACAAAAGTGACTAGATTAGTTTCAATAAAAACATAGTTTGATTTTAACGTTTTACTCTGAAATAAATAATAATTAAACTAAGTTCACATTTTTTTTAAAATTACGTAATGCTGACTGGAACATAATACACAAACTTATGAATAATGAAACGACCGTAAACTCCAGAAAATTATTCAAGTCATTTGCTCAACTATACCAACTGTACCAATTATACCAACTATACTAATTATACCAACGATGTGATACCAACTACATCAACTGTACCAACTATACCAAATGTACTAACGACATAATACCAACTACAATATAATACCAAATGTACCAACGGTATATAATACCAATTATACCAACGATATCATCGGTATAATACCAACTATACCAAAAGTACCAGCGATATAGTACCAACTGTACCAAGGGTATATAATACCAATTATACCAACGATATCAACGGTATAATACCAACTATACCAAAAGTACCAGCGATATAGTACCAAATGTGCCAAGGGTATATAATACCAACTATACCAAAAGTACCAGCGATATAGTACCAAATGTACCAAGGGTATATAATACCAATTATACCAACGATATCAACGGTATAATACCAACTATACCAAAAGTACCAGCGATATAGTACCAAATGTACCAAGGGTATATAATACCAACTATACCAAAAGTACCAGCGATATAGTACCAAATGTATCAAGGGTATATAATACCAATTATGCCAACGATATCAACGGTATAATACCAACTATACCAAAAGTACCAGCGATATAGTAACAAATGTACCAAGGGTATATAATACCAATTATACTAACGTTATGAACGGTATAATACCAACTGTATAGTAACTGTATATCTGATTTTACTTAAATAACTCTTTACAACAAGCAACCTAAATTTTCAGTTTAATAATATTCATCCGAAACGTAGACTGAAAAATAAAAATAAATAGTTTAACAACGCATATATAATTTAGTCCCTAATCCCAAGAACGTTCCCTTTTGGGAGCTCAAGGCAATAGCGCCACCTGCATGTTTCTATCTATCAGGCTGATTAAATTTGGATACCTTCTGTGCTCCTCAACACAGGATGTTTTCAAGGAATATGAGACCGTTAAGAGTATAGGGTACCTGATGATGACAAAACCTTGTCGAAACGTTGTACATTTGCTGTTATGTTATGATTAAATTTGGATACCTTCTGTGCTCCTCAACGCAGGATGTTTTCAAGGAATATGAGACCGTTAAGAGTATAGGGTACCTGATGATGACAAAACCTTGTCGAAACGTTGTACATTTGCTGTTATGTTTTTCATCATTACCCATTCAAGCTGTCTCCAACCATCATAGGATAAAAGGTTTCGCTTTCGTATCGTGGAAGAGTTGATCACACTATAAAAAAATACGGAATCCAGTCATGACACTGCGATCATCATTCTAGGTGAAGTTTCAAATGCGACTCTAATTGACGCTATTAGAAGAATGTATGACATATTTCAGCATCATTGAGGTATTTTATCAGTTCGTGCTTTCATCAGATTTCAGTGATAAGTGGTAGCGAATGTAACACAAGCGTAACTTTTACATCATTGACGGTAAATGCTTAGACAAGTGAATGATCGCATAACCAGTAGTTAACTTTGGTTTTAATTTAGAAAGTTGAATATGAAACCTTGAAGCTCTAGACAAGGACATTTACGTTTGTCCCTTGGTAACACAGACATAATCGATATCATGTGTTAGCTGTACAAGATACCTCATGTTTCACTTAACATATCAATATATTGTGTCAACTGTATAGAAAATATCTCATGCTTTACATAATATATCAGTATCATGTATCAGCTGTATATATAGTACCACACTTAACATATAATATCGTGTGTTAACTGTACAAAATATTTCATGTTTTACATAATATGTCAATATCACGTATCAGCTGTATACATAGTACTACACTTAACATATCAATATCGTGGGTTAACTGTACAAAATATTTCATGTTTTACATAATATGTCAATATCACGTATCAGCTGTATACATAGTACCACATTTAACATATCAGTATCGTGTGTTAGCTGTACAAAGTACTCCACGTTTTATTTCATATATCAATATAATCAGTCGACTGTATATTAAATACTCCATGTTTCACTGATCGGTTGTCTTTGAGGAAGACAGTTCCACAAGATATGAATATTAAATGGTTTCATTTGTGTAAAAAAACAACAAAAGCAGACCAACAGAAATAAGTTGTTTCTTTAGATCTGACAAATCTGTTAAACATGAAAAAATATTTACTTTACTTGCATTCTTCTTCATGTTATACTTCCTCTCCGAAAATGTCGGAAAACTTTCATTGCCATTTTATAGATGGTAAAAGCTCTTATCAGTGTTTTCTACCTCACAAAGCTATAGTCGAGCTCGAACTGACTTTCCTGTCACGCTACTGCTACAAATGATAACCTTTGCTTTTTCTGTCATTTCAAGTTGTCACGAGCATATCGTGACTTTACTTCTTTTCTGATTTTCAACTTTGATCTAGCTCTTACACGAGTTTTGAGCTTCCTACAACTTGTAGCATTTCGTTATTTTAGTAAATCTTAATGATGTCTTTAATCTTTCAAATTAACGTACACACCTATAAAAACACACACACACACACACACAAGACATGACACGTTTGAATTCAGCGCCTAGTCTAAATTTTAAGCATGAAATCAAGTACTAAAGCAGTACCTTCTTTTGAAAGTATATCGCTAAAAAGAGTTTGAGGTGAGTCCGACAAAGGTATGAGTTAGTAAAATGAAATACGCTAACTGTATTATTGAACGTCATGGTTTTGAGCTTATGAAATACGCTAACTGTATTATTGAACGTCATGGTTTTGAGCTTATGAAATACGCTAACTGTATTATTGAACGTCATGGTTTTGAACTTGTTTTTATTAATTTTTGTGAATGTCGAGCAAAAGAGCTATCTGTGCTAGCCATTCCCAATGGAAAAAAAAGGCAGATAGCCAATCAACCCACAGCTGACTCTTGGGTTACTCTTTACCAACAAATAGTGGGATTGATCGTAACATTATAAGGCCCCTACATTGGTCGTCATTGCATCTTCAGATTGATATATCTTGCAGGTAAAAGCATTTCGAATTCAGTTTTCCTCACGGATTTCTTCAACGTTTTGTCACGTGAGAGTTACAAAAATGTTTACTTCTAACAACAAACCCTTGACATATTTTAAAATGCTGATCATATATTAACGTTTACAACTAAATCAAGTTTAACGTAAGATAAAAACGCTCTCTTGGATAAAACAAACAAACAGTTGTACAACAGGTAGTTGTGCAACTTGTGACAATACAAAACAGTGCAAGAAATGAGTGAATTTGAGCTATCTTGATACATTAAACATTTAGATATTACTCTAATATATATATCAGGCTGATGGAATAAAGGTAACTAAGTTTTCGGCGAGTGCTATAATGAAACGTATACAGAAGCACTTGTCTCTCGATTGGACAGTCGTGAGTTTACGGACTTACAATCCGGGGTTCGATCCCCGCGGTGCACACAGCAGATAGCCCAATGTGGCTTCGCTCTAAAACCAACAAAGATAATCACTATTATTGCTTGACTCACACACATATATAAACATTACCTTCTTTGAATATCAGTTC